TTAAATTAACCTTTGAAAGGGCTGCAAAACCCTTGTTGCTGATGAATCTTGGGAACAGGGAAGCTGTTATTTCATGTTGTGCATATCCCCCAGGCCGGGTTGTATCGCCAAGTAGAGACTTCAAAGGCCAATCCTATGTTTTCAAAATATATTTGATATGTGTTCAGCTTGCTGCATAACTCTGCGTGTGTAGTAAAGGCAGAAGAGCCATTTCACATTTCACATAGTCATTTCATCCATTGCTCTTTAAAATAATGGATTATAGCCACTTTTTAACATGGTGTGTACAGTGTTACAATGGGAATGATGGCTTCTACGAAAATAAGAACCAACTTGTAATAAACCAAAGTTGTCCTTTAACATTCAAATTCAAGCACAAACAAAATTTGCAAATCCTCTAAACTGACTGCCACTCAGCCCACTGGGTCCCATTGTTCTGACATGGAGCAGCAAGAGGAGCTCTGCCATTAGAGAGTGAAGAAGAGAAGCATGTTGCGCTGAATGGAGTGTGGGCCTGTCGATCATCGCTAACAGCTGCATTTGGCATTTCAGTCAGGTACAAAAGGTGTGTTTTGTGCCAAAGTACCTCAAGTCAGACAGGCATCCAGACAGTGTGCTTGAATAACAATATTTCATCAGAGTAAAGTGGGAATAACAGAGAAGAGGAAGAGGAGGGGTAAACATAGTTCAGGCAAGAACCGCATCTGTATTGTTGAGACTTTAACAGGAAGGTAACACGCCAACAAGCATCTTCAAGGTTCTCCTCCACCATCTGTTCTCCGGCTGAAGTGACTCCTGCCTTTTTCTCAAACACGTACAGACACACTCTCAACACTCAACATGCCCTTCCAGATTCATTAGCATATAAATAATTCATACGAACACAAAAACACACACCAAGGCAACGGTGCCATCACACATATGCCTCCTCCAGCAGTGTTAAAAGGTGAATGTAGAATATTAGTGGGTATAAGCAGACTCTGATGGTGTCCATTAGTCTGCGTGTGTGTGTTTATGTGTGTGTTGTTCCAAGCCTGATGAAAAGGCTTTTAGGCTAATTACATGAGGAGAGTGTGTTGCCATCTAGATTAATTTGAATCTTGTGCTGACATCTTACTCTCCCTCTTCCTTGTACACTGATCTCGTGTATTGACTACCTCTGCTATTTGATTTTAAACTTGGGGGTCATTTTAATAGATTAACTTGTTATGTATGTCTTGTGTGTGTGAGTTTGTTCTGTCACGTCTTCCGCAACAATATGATTAAGTCAATATAGAGCATAATGTTCTGAGCGTGACTGACACAGCCTCCTCTTGGTTAGTTGCTGATACCTTGCTTGCTGACCGTGCTTTTCATTCAACATCCCTCACTTCCTCTTTGTCTTAACTGAGGGTTAAAAATAAGGATTTTTTTATGGAGAGGCAGCATCTTGTTTTTGCCGTTTTCAAATCTGATCTAACAGCGCCCTCTGTCCAGAGAAAGTCAGAACTGCATCAGAACAGAGATCACATAACACAATTAAAATATGTGTGTATAGGACACCACAAAATAATGAACATATTATTATTTTCCAGAAATCTGCAAACATAAAAGACCTCATCTCCTCAACCTAATTTATAGAGCACCTTGAGAAGGGGATGTTTAGCAAACAATGAGTACTTTACTTTATGTGACTGACCTGTTGCTAATTCAAAATGTTCATTTAAAGACATCATTTCATATTTTGTGTATTTGATGCTCATTTGGTCACATTCAAAATGGGGAAATGGTTCTGTAAATTATTCCACAACTCAATATTTGTTTTGCTTCAGGTTTGATAGTTATGGATTTGTTTTGCATAGCAAGGAAACATGTTTTCAACAAATATTTGCTTTTTTAGTTTCCCTTTCCTCATATCCATTATTTTATAAGCATATTTTGCTGCTGAAATAATTCAGCCCTTTCCAAAATATTTTCCTCTCTGTGCTCTCAGAAAACACTGCATTCTTGGTGCTCTGGCCGGGTGCCTGCAGAAGTTTTCCTTTACAAAATCCAAATAAAGTTTTTTAATTCAGCTCATATGAAGACTGACAGAAGTTGTGAATTTAACTCTCTGGGATAAGAGTATGTATTGCTTTGCACACAGGGAATACCTATTCTGCTTTGTTTCATGTCACAGTAAGTAAAGGTGAAAACAATACAATTGTTGATGGCTTAATTTCCTTTAGCTGTCAAATAATGGTTATAAAGTATGAAAACTAATCTGGGGCATTATTTTCCATTTGTTTGACAAAAGTTGCAATTCTCAGAGGTTGTTTATTCATAAACCTTTTAAATCGCCTCAAAGTAAAATCTGATTTCAGATACAGCTTTTGCAGAAATGTACCCTCTGATTTAATGATGTCCTCTTTAATTACAGGGTTAGATGACATGTCATGATCTATAAAATCAAAAAATCGATGAATATACCAATAGTTTTGGGAGTTCAAAACGTTATCTTACTTTGTCATTTACAACCTCAATCATACATTTGCTTTATTATTTTGTGGGAATGCTGATACAGCATTCCAACTATCTGTTATGCTACGCACAAAATTCTTTATTATTCCGCCGGGTTATTTTGCACCTCTTCTTCTCCCACATTCCACATCGCAGAAACTCCATTCAAACATCAAAACGTTCAGCTCGGTCGGGAATCGATGGCTATTACTTTTCTCATTCATAACTTTCATAATTCCAGAGATACATCCCATAATTCATCACATTTTTAACATGGAAGTCAATGGAGAAACTCTTCAGACTTGAACAATCTTCATGCAACTTCAACTGCTAACTGCTCCTTCATACTTTCACTCAGAAACCTCATTCCAACTTTAAAATGTTACACATCTTTCTGACATTATTCGTGTTACACAACTTTTAAATCTGATTCGTACTTTTAGAGATATTAAACATTGTTCAGACCTTGGTAAAGAGACCTTCAGATTGTAGAGTGCATGATGTCACAGCTAGAGTGGAGGACAGATTTAATTTTGCCTTCATATTTTCTTTTAAACCTGCCATAATTCCCAAACCCTACATTCCTGAGACATAATTGTTCATGAGAAATGTAGGAAAACATCTCGTAGCTTGAAAAATTAATTTAAAAAAGCAAAATAATTAAACAAAATGCCTCTTGAGGGCATGAAGTGACAAAAACTTTCAACATGTCTCCATTAAACCCCATTGTAACTTCAGCCTCATCTTTCCCCACCACAGCAGCCGCACACCTTTAGTTAATTTGCCAAAAAGGCCACATTATTAACCCGAAAGAACACTTCAGATGCTCAAGTTCCTTGACATGCTTCACGCTTTGAAATTTCACCGATATCTGTTACGGTTCTTCAACAAAACGTTCACATGTAAGAGGTTTATCTCTCATTCAGAACAATGCAAATGCTCTCCTCACTGATTACTCCACATCACCATGGAAACCTTTGATCTCGGACACGTCGTTAGCTCAAATATAAACACCTGTGTCATGGAACGCGATGATGTCATAACTCCAACTGACATGCTCACAGCAGCAGACTTTAGATAATGGTTAACATTAGTTAGCTCTACGTCAATTATGGGGTGTCATCATATGCCGTTTCCATGGAAACGCATTCCTCGCCATAAAACAAGATGTCGCTGTAACTCCAATGGACACGGTCCGATCGTCCCCCAAACTTCGCTTGTATATCACTGCTCCATGCCTCAACAGCTCTACGTCAAATCTGACATCTCACCATATGCCGTTTCCATGGAAACGCATCCCTCGCCATAAAACACGATGTTGTCGTAACGCCTATGAAAAGGGTCAAAACAGCACCAGACTTCAGTTAATGGTCCAGCCCTCAACAGTTCTACGTCAATTATGGGGTTTCATCATATGCCGTTTTCATGGAAACGCATCCCTCGCCATAAAACACGATGTTGTCGTAACGCCTATGAAAAGAGTCAAAACAGCACCAGACTTCAGATAAAGATTAATGGTCCAGCTTTCAACATGTCTATGTGCCATTAGTGAGTTTTCCTCAAAAGCTGTTGCCATGGCAACGCATCCCTCGCCGTAAAATACGATATTGCTATAATTCCTATGAAAATTGTCAAAAAGTGCTCAAACTTCACATGTGTGCTAATAGTCCAGCCGTGAAGACATCTATTTGACAGTTTTAAGATTTCTTCAAATGCCGTTGCCTTGGCAACACAATGCTCACTATGAAACACGGCTTTCTCACAACTTCAGTTAAAATGCTCGAAATGGCCCAAAACTTCACAGGTTTGGTAACGATGCAGCCATCAACACATCTAAGCGTATTATGGGGTGTCATCAAATGCCGTTGCCATGGCGACAGATCATTCGCCATCAAGTTAGTTCAAAAGTTTGCAGTTCAAATATTCTGCTGCTTTTCCAAGCCTTTTTACTTTCTTTTCTTCTCTTATCACACATTCAAGCCCCCAGGGTTCATGTATCATTTCAATCTAAATTCTTCACTTTCTTCTTACACATTACATTTCAGCATAGCAGTTTAGCGTCAGCTTTTCAGCATAAAGCATTCCCACTAGCAATTTCTTCAGGAATTGGATTCTCTAGTTTATATTGTTATAGCACAGTCTCCAATCATGAAAAGAAAAACAGACATGATCAATTAATTGTATATTAGTAAAATAATAATAAAAACACATTTATTCAAATGTTATACCAAACCCATATTCATTTCAAAAGATGATTAATTGATATTCAGACATTGTGTTCTCTCTAAATGTGATGACATCTGCTTTCCTGGCATTAGCAAATGTTGAGTATCTTTCTTGATGTAATTTATTCCTTCATATCTCTGCATAAAAATTAAGTATTTAATAGAAAATGCAAATGTTAAAATTATATTTTGGAGGAGAAAAATGTCTAATGGGCTGAAGTTTAGTGTACATATGAGATGATGCCATGCCAAATCCAAGATTAAGTTAAATTGCAACAAAAACTGAAAACACAGATATCAGATTACAGATTTCCTTTAATGTTTTAAGAATCAAAATGCAGATTAGTTTCCCAGCATCAAATTGATCTAAAGGGATTATTTCTGGTGAACCTCATAACTTTCCACCTCCATGTCTTCTTCTTTCTTCAGCTGGCAGGCTTCTGCTGGGTCCACTCATTTTGGCTCCAGGTCTCCATCTTGGTAACAGCAGACAGTTGGTGGGCTGAAACGAGGCTGCTGGAGTACTCAAGGTCTGCAGACCCAACTGGCGTTTGTGTTAGGCAGATTATTCTTGTAGTGAAGCTGGCCCTGCAAGAAGCCTGGATCCGGCGGCTGATTAGTTTTTCTGGCAGGGAGGCTGTCAGGCAGAGGGTCCCCTGTTGCTTTGGCTGAGCGAGTTTCCCAGGGACACGGACTGGTTTGTGCAGGCATGGATGCTTTGGCTCGTCTGGCAGTTTGACAGGGAAGAAATGAAAGTTTAGACATTGTGATGAAAAAAGGAGACTGGTAAAGGCGAGAAACCAATTTTCAGTACACTGACCTTGTAACTGTTCTATTCTTCTTCAAACCTTTATTAACTAACAATCAATGAGTAGTGCCCTCTTTATCTGCAATGCCGTGATTACACTCAGGTACACACATTCACACTTGAATCTGCATACGAACAACCCTAATGCGATCTACTAGCCTGTATTGGAGGACCTCTGGATTACTTGAACTCTATGTTATATTGCATTGATTTTTTTTCTCTCAAACATCCTGCAACATTACAGTACACACACAGATCTTTTGTAGTCTGCAGTGGCAAAGTACACAAACACGGACAGATAACAAAAAGGAAAAATGAAATTAAACACAACAGCACACCGTCACCTCACATTACAGTACTTCAGGCATTCTATGACATAACACTTTATCTAAGGTTGGGTCAGATTTCTTTTAAAAATAAAGTAAGTTATTGAATACAAATTTGTCTCCAAGATGGCAAAAAATGTGGCAAATCAAACTACTGATGAAAAACATATTCGGAGTCTGATTCACCTTTCTTTTAAAGAGCACACATTTAGTCATTGAACATTCTGATGTAAAATCTAAATCTTTTACTTGAACCTTTTACTGATAGCGTAAGTAGAGATACTGATAATATTGTGTCTTTGCTAAAGTTATAAATGGTTCTGTATGTAAAAGTAGCTGTGTGTCATGTGTATGTGCTTGTTTGGCACTTTATGTTGTTGGTTTTGCACTCATTTTCTGCCATTAGTATTTAACGTAGATTAACCCCACCTTTTCTGGCTGTTGCATTAAAATGAAGTAGCTACACAATCCCATTAATGATTAATTATGTTAACAGCCAGATAGTATACAAATTGTTCTTAAATGGGATATGCTGAATAATAGAGAACTGTTCCTTTGTGGTTTAATTTGTTTAGTTTGTTTCTCTATCTAAGTATGATTGTGAATGCAGGACTTGTACAAAGTATTTTTACATTATGGTATGGGTATGGCTATATCTTAATTCTTCTTCCACCACTGAACATGATATCTCCTTTTGCTGCTAGCCCTTGCTGAGGTGGTGTCAGCAGTTGCTTCAGAGTGTCTCTCCCTCCCGGTTGTGTCCTCGGCCGCCCCCTGACGGTGGTCCCCGGCAGAGCCCCGGCCCCCCTCACCAGACCGTCCCACCGAGGAGCTGCACTGCTCCGCTGCTCAAGTTCACAAACCACTGGCTGTGAGAGAGTGTGCAGAGGCTGTCCCCGTGTGTGTGTGTCTTCCTACTATTGTTTTGCTTCGGATAAACGGACCGACTTCTCATCAGCTTTCAATCTTTTTGAGACCGGGACTTACTCAAACATTCAAAGTTTTTGGAAGATTTTTACCGGCTTTGTCTCCTCTACCCGGATAGATTTTTGTTTATGGCGCGGTGTTACCAAGATGGACACTGGTTGTCTGCAGGTTGGAGACTAGATAACGGCTTCGCCCTTTAAAATTAAATGTAGGCTAGACTTTATTTAATTATCCGCTGTAAACGTGTTATTTATCAACTGGATGTAGCCAGATTGGGTCATTTCCTCCCCAGGGGTCACATCCTATAATGAACATTTTCCCACTGAAGTTTCGGTGAACTTTTCCCACGACTCGCCATGTCGGGAGTTGTCCGCACCCTGAGCCGCTGCCTGCTCCCGGCCGAGGCCAGCCGGGACCCGGGCAGCAGCAAGGAGGGCAGCCGGGAGAGGGACGCGGCGCAGGAGCGGGAGGCGAGGCGCAGGAGCCGGGAGATAGACGCGATGCTGGCCCGGGAGAGGAGAGCCGTCCGCCGGCTGGTGAAGATCCTCCTGCTCGGGGCCGGAGAGAGCGGAAAGTCCACATTCCTCAAACAGATGCGCATCATTAACGGGCAAGAGTTTGATAAAAAAGCACTTCTGGATTTCCGGGACACTATCTATGAGAATATACTGAAGGTAAGAACAAGGTTTCATGGGAAATAAATAGCTTGGGGCCTTCAGGGAAACTTTACAGCCCAAGTCCAAAGTTTAAACACACATGTGTAATCTGTGTTGTCAACTCCTGCTTTTGTCTTTTTGATTTGAAGTTTATATCGTGTTTGTTTCTGCTCTCTTCGAGTATGAAAACCTATTTGATAAGTAAGTTAAAGTAAAGGATGTATGAGGAACTGACATGTTGGAGAACAGAAAGTGTATTAGATTAGGCTATTCAATTAGTCTTTGGAGGTATATTGACTGGAACTCAACTGTAAGTCAATTCATTGATCATTTCATTATTTAGTTAGTTTGTCAAGGAAACATTGCCAAGATTCTCCAAACCAAATTAGAGAATAGTCAGCAGTTTAATCAGTATTGGAAATAATCATTATTTGCAGTCCTGGTATTGACGTTTTATTGACGTTGAGGCTCACACACATACTCACTCAAACATATAGAGTTTTGTTGACATAGTACATATTTTTATCCTGAAGTGTGTGTTTGTGTGCACGCTCTCCCTTTGTTTGCTGTCATGGCTGGGCCTCCTTGACCAGCTAACAATACCAGACTATTCCTGAGGGATGAGCACATCCGCCCTGATTGCCACACAGCCCAGACAGGGATGATAAGAGCCTTCTACACAGCAGAGGCAGTACTCCATACCCTCCCCTGAATACCAGCATACAGTGGCGGTGCTGTCTCTGGCCAAATCATGAACAGCACCCCCCCAACCCTCCTCCAAACAAAAACAAAATTCACCAACACTCAACTTCCTGAAAAACACAATGCATGATGACGAGCAGGCAAATATTGTAAGAAATCACATGATTGGAAATGCTGTAGTTTTGACAAAGGCATGATCTCAAATGCCACATGATACTACATGCCTGGTATTTTTGACCCACCACGACGCTGTTTATTGGTCCTCCCATCTTTTACAAATGACACAATATTAGAAGCTTGCAAGTAACATTTATTTTCATTAACAATTATTCTATTAACTTCCGAGTTCATCTTGTATTACTTTCAGTCAATTATGACTATAATGGGATGTTGCAAAAAGAGATAAAATCGACAACATTTTTAGGATAGGTCTCAAGGAGGAGATACAGGAATCAGTTGTAGTAAAAACACATCGCACTGAGAATACACAGTAGATTATATTGGATGTAAAAATGGCTTAGACATACTGCATTAATCATTGGTGCATCATTCCTATGCTATGACACCATATATTGGACATGTTTCCATTGGTAAATCTGAGCATTGTTTATTAGGCGGGATGTTACCTGAACAACAGTGTCAGGGTCAGCCTCACCTACAGGGTGTAGAGGACCTCTCTCTTCATGGGAACCTAATGATAGTGATAGAGAACAAAGCAGACGGTTAAGGAGGGACAAAGCTGAAAGAAAATACACAGGTGTGTTGCACAATTAGATACAAATGAATAAATAACAGTTCATGAGTTCATGTGTGGTCCCGCCCCTTCCTTCTTGTTAATTATACCTCCAATAATGGTTAAATCTCTCATCTAATCCTTCAATCCTCAAACTGGATATTCTCACAAGTTAAAGTGAAACTAAAAACTGCTGCTAGGGTACCTCTGTCAAGCCGTACATCAAGTGTAGGTTTGATGAACAGCCTGGATATCTAATGATTTACAAGCTGTACGTTTTGGTAGAACATAACATAAACACTCAAAATAGACAATTGTTGGTGTTATTAATTAATCCATTTCTAAATAAGGCACACAATGGTTTGACGTTTTTCCATAAACAGGTTTTATCCTTTTTTCTATTTCTGTGATTGTCCTTGTTTGCCTATCATTACTTCTAAACCAAGTGTTTTTCTAGCTTCAAGGTTGGTCAATTATCATCAGTGTCACATGAGGGAAATGCTTTATTAATTTAGATCATTGAAGCCCGAAATTCTGCATATTTGGCTTCTTCAAAAACTTCGGGGTCACAATTACAATGTTAAATGTTTTTTTATGAATTGTAAAGCTAAATAACTTCTAATGCTTTCTTGTTACAAGGCAGGGGAAAGGGCCGCTGGTTACCGGAACAGAGTTATTTTTAGACCCATCTAGCTGCCGGCCAATAGTGCCATTGACCATGTCATGTCTTCAGTTCAGACATCATATTTTTATGTTTCTTTTGCCCCATGTGGGAGATACTGTTGAGGGCCAGTTACACACAAATACCAAGAGCTGGTCTGTTGTCTGTCTAGCTATCTTATTCATCTGGGCACAACTGTTTCTGTCGCTTTTCATGTGAATAATAACGTGCACTATAAAAATGTCTGCCCACTCCATTGAGGCCTGCTGTCCACTCCACCTTTGAATGTGGCCCTTTAAGTTGAAACACTTTTTTTACATTTGGTTCACATTTGATCTGTAACTTTGTGTTCAGACTTCACTTTGTACCAATGGGTTCTTTGTAGCAGATAGAGGCAGACAGGTTTCATCCTTCAAAGGACTCAGTGCAGTGGGTGTGTCCTTTAGAGATAACCTACAGCCTCACAAACTAATGGGGCATTAGCATGGTCCTTATCAGCTTGTTAAAAAGTCAAACTTTTTCATGTTTATCACCAGTAAGTCCTCATCACCAACGTAGTTTCGGTATGAAAGGTTATCTAGGTTCAAGGTAAATCATCCTTGAGTTTACAATAGGAGTTTTGTTATTGAATTGGCAATGTGATACTTTTCCGACTAAATGGATAGGATCACCGAAACGTCCCAATAAAAATAATGACCAGCTCACATTTCTGCATAGAAAGGTGCTTACTTTAGTCACTTCCAAATGTTATCAAAATAAGGCTGTCACTTCCTGCAAACAATTTGGAGGCTTCTTCAAAAGGGGACAACTTGTTATGTTTTTCTTGAGATTTTCTTTCCTTTTGAGGGCGGAGGGAAAAGAATGCGATAAAGGTCCCAACACTGGAATGTAATCCCCTATTTTACTTGTTATATTGTTGATCCATTTGGCAGTGTTGGAAGAAGTATTCTGATATTTTACTTGGGTAAAATTAGCAATACTAAAGTTCAGGATTAGGAAATGTTTGGTCTATAAAATGTCCCAAAATAGTGAAGAATGTCCATCCCAGTTTCTGGAAGAGGTCAAGGTCATCTCTTTAAATGTGTTGTTTTGCCAGGAGTGCAGTAAAAAGAACAAAAGTTGCTTCCAAAATGTAGCAAAGTAGAAGAAGAAAAAAGCACAACATGCAGTGTTTCCCACAGAATTTGATTCTATTTGTGGGGGCACCGCGCCGCAAAAAAAGTATTAATATTATTATTTATTTTTGTATGAGATCCATTTGTGGCGGACGATATTTAATTGTGACGGCCCGCCACAATTAAATCAATGTATGGGAAACACTGATACACATAAAATGGAAAATACAAGTAACCCAAAATGTCTATAAAGTTCAGTCAACTAGATGCAATTGGTTACTTTCCATCACTGGTATTTGACATGCAGACATGCTGAATGTGGACACACTTACTGAATAACTAGAGACCACGATGTGTATGGACAGGTTGGCTAAGCAGCAGGAACACAGACAAACATGCGGATATACAGGAAAGGACACAACAACTCTTTAGAGGATTTATGCAACATAAACCCAGATTAGTAATTTGATAAATCTCAGGTTGGCTAGTCCCAGACAGATACAGGATGTGACTCAAAACCCACTCACAGTGACTCCGTTAGTGATTTTACTGCAGAACATGCTGCTGTTCGATCTGTATGTCGTGTCAGATTACATGTGTGTCTTTATGTTGAAGACTAGTCAGTGTGTCAGTCTTACTCACTCCTGTAATAACAAAACCCCCAATTCTTAAAAGAGAAGTTTGAAATGAGGGACAGAGTTGAAAATGCACTAGTCAGTCACAAAGGAGCATCCCAGTCAGACTGCACCCACACATAGTAGCTGCATGAGTGATTACATCTATAAAGTGTCACATCTTCCTTTTATTTTTTCTTACACGTTTAGGGGGAAATCTCCCTTTGAACTTTGTATAAACAAGGTTGGAGCTAATTTTCCAGCTGTGTTCATGTTGTGGGCCTGTTAAGCCTCAAGAATGCGATATTAAGCTGTTCAAACAAACTTGACTAGACTTGAGTATTGCACAAAGGGGAGGCAGTCATGAGTCATCCACACACACACACACACATACACACAAATCCCTTAACCTACTGTGACCTTTGAAACGCTTCATAGCTCACTGATAATGTTCTGTTGTTTCAATCAATAAATGAAGCAATCATGCTTCAATTACAAGGCAGATTCTGGACTTTGAGATGCTCAGAAAAAATGCTTCACATGGAGTCAATTGTCTTAGAAGGTAAAAGATAAGGAACTCAATGGATGAAATAAAAAGACAAGATGTAGTGAGTAACAAATACAAATTGTACCACAAAATAAAAGTCTGCTGTCAGATAAATACATGCTGAATTTGAACATTTCAAAGTAATGGATTCAAAGAGAGTCTAATAAAACTATAAAGAGAGAAATGGAGACACAGATACAAAAAATGGAATATCTGTCTCTCTGTGTGATGGTTAGACCTCCCACACAGATCAGTCCACATGGCTCTATTCAGAAAACCACCAGCAGCCACACACGCATATGTTTGAGAGTGTGTGTGTGTCTGTTTGACATATGTGCTGCCCTGTTCAAGTTGCTCCATGTTTACCAGAAACACTAGACTCTGTGTTGACATTTTTCCCCTGGAAGCAGCTCATGCAGTATGGTTTTTTATTTCCTCTGTGTGGTCAGGAAATATTTGTACAATATTGCTGACATTAGAAAAAAGCAGCTGTTACTCCACTTGACCGCATTCAGGCTCATGTTCACGCTGTGTTTCTGCAGGGCATGCGCGTGCTGGTAGACGCCCGGGACAAGCTGGGCATCGGCTGGCAGAGCTGCGAGAACGAGAAGCAGGGCATGCTGGTGATGTCGTGGGAGGGACGAGTGGGCGGCTCGGGGGTCGAGCCAAGTGAGTTTCAGCTTTACGTGATGGCACTGAACGCACTCTGGACGGACACCGGCATACAGGAGGCCTACGCACGGCGCTCTGAGTTCCAACTGGTGAGTAGATTAATCCTGTAACAAACCATTTCCTCTTATTTAGCTTCAAGGTTGTTTATATAGTTTGTATCAAGTCTTTGTTGATGTTTACACTAAGTGGAATTCAAACCAAAGGCTGGTACTGCTGCAACATTTCATCGAATGGAAACATTTTAGATGCGCTTAGATTTTACACATTTCAAATTTCAGAATCCGACAGTAGATTTTATAATAAAGTTTTGGCAGCACTCAATAAGCTGCTTGTTAAGGATGAATACCTCTGGCACTTTAAAGATATACTTCCCTCGAAACTGATATTTTATTTATGATTCAGTCACATATCCAGGAATGATAAATGACAAATCTTGTATTGACACTCCATTACAAAGGTTGAAGCATTTGCTGATACCTTGAGGTAGATCATCTGCCTGTGCTAACAATACAAATGTAACCAAAAATAAACTATCCTTAAACATTCATATGAAGTCCTTAAAGTACTCATGCAGCAGTCTAAAGGATTCAATCACTCTTCATAGCATGCCAAAAATGCATATATTTATTTATTTAAAAGCTCCCATGACTGTCTCCAGTTCATACACTGAGTTGGAGCAATGATCAGTCATTGGTTACTCACTGGCTGATCTGATGCTTCACATTGAATCTTCCTCCCACACATAACATCCTGTAACAGAATACAGGATCGTTGTCACCAATCATTTTTTCTCCATTCTTCCTTACAATGCGGTGAGCTGTCAAATTGAGAAAAAGTGCCTAAAAAATAACCGTTAATACTTGCACTGTGTATGTTTACCAGTTCTTACCCCCAGTTCCATACATATTTCACTCCAGGGACGTCAGCAGTCTAGAGGCGCAGATATCTGCACAGTCACTGATTTACTACAGCCAGGAGTCACAAAGCTAATACCTACTGACATGCTCATAACTTCAGGAAGTAACTGGATATTATCTGAAATGTTTTTACCTGTCAACTAAAGAAAGAAGTCAGTGAAAAAGCAGTGCACAGAGCCAAGCCTGAGGAAATATTTATTGTTTTCTGTCTAACTTCCCCTTGCTCATGTTTTTTGTGTTTGGTGACTTTCCAAATATGTAATTATTTTTCTCTTGACTGGAAATGGAGCCGGTGAAGTGGAGCCCTGTGGAGTTACATCTGCCACGCCACACTGCACCAAACATAACCTTAAACGGCTCGTACATTACAGTGAAATACTTATTTCCTTTTAACTCAAATGTATTAAACACATGCAGATCAAAACCAGTAGGCTGTACACATCACTGACCTTCCTTTTATTGTATAACTAGTCATGTTGAATAGATGGGGAAATAAAGCAGTACAAGGAAAAGTATCTTTAAAACAGGATTTGATAGAATGGCACTTAGACCAGTAAGACAAGTGCTTTTAATATTGAAGAGTTAGTGTAGCCTCAAAGCTGTGGCAATCCACATTTTGTATTAACAATGGATTGACCTACTTTGTGTACATGAATGGGGTTGCTTGAAGAGAAAAACCCACAAAGAATTATCACCGTATCTGTGGTTCGACTCTTTTAGCCCATTCGTCTGGTTTTACAGCTTGTAATATTAGTTTTTTTGGGTTCACTTTGAGCACAAGGCTCTAAACCCTGGCTGTACACAGCTTGCCAAGCACCAAACAAACAACAGACAGAGAACAACTGAACATGGTGTAGCAAACAACAACTCAAAAGTTGGATATTTCTCTCAGGAGTTGGTTGAAACAAAAAAAGTAAAGGGAATAGAAGAGTGCCAGAAAAAGAACTCCATGTCCATGTGATGATATGTAAAGTTTACAACTTGTTTCAATGCAACCTAGTGGCCAAAAACCAAGCAATGCTGGATTAAAGGAATATGGAAAGGCCATGTAACATGGGATCGTCTCTTATCAAATGTATACGCTCTTTTCTTTCTCTGCTGCGAACCAGAGAAACTGAGACTTGTTTAAAGCAGTAAACCACTTACTGTAATTTAAAGATCATTTGTGAACAACAGAACAGCTGGAGAACCCCTCTGTTTTACAAGGAACTCTATAAGTGTCTACAAACATGCCGTGAAGGGCCAGACAGACTTTTAATGACACTTGAACGATCATTAACCGCATTGTCAACACGGCGAATGTCTCACAGCGCCGGCGTCACCAGCTGCTCCGCGGTTTGTATCGGCTGTAGTGGCGAGTTTATTCTGCTCTTTATTGGAAGTGACAGAGCGCCTCTCCTCTCTGTTTAGAGCTGTATATTTGACCTTTAGCCTTGTTACACATTTATCAGTGACACAACTATCTGGAGTCAGACAGAAGCCACTTCCGTCTCGCTCTCACTTAACATACTGTAAGTGTGTGTGAGATGTCAGTGCACAGCTTTGGGTCAGACTGCCTCGGTGTCTTATCTGGAGTCGCTGTGTGATAAAACCTGTTGGGCTGCTCAGACTTGCAGACATCGCACTGGCTTAGCGATAAGGATGTTGGTATTCTGTACTTTGGTATTGTCAACAAATTCCATGAAAACAATCAAACAGCAGGAAGAGTAGAACAGAAATTAAACTGTTGTCATTTATGTAGTTCAATAAGAAAATGGCGATTGTTGTTACTGTGAAAACACACCATTTAAGAACCCACCTGCTGTCCACACAGAGATACATTTTGCCTTTGTCGATCATCGTGTAGCCTGGGCTTTTGATCCGATTCCTTACAAAAGAAAATCCAAGTTTGTTTCCAATAAAGTACATCCCTTTTTTTTATTATCATAGACATGTATTGTTTCTTGTGTATTAGCCAACGCTCAAATCTCTCCTGAAATCTCCCCGTCATTGTACTACTTCTTGTTTGGTCGTTACATCCCACCTCAGTGAATCCTGCCTGGCGCAAATCGGTTTATAATTTAGCCCGCTACAACAAACAGGGCCGATCCCAATCTTCCCACTTACGGACTTTGAGGCGTGTTATCTGAAAACCCATGAGGGCTCAGGGCTGTGCCACTGTCAATGTTTGAGCTATTTCTGAACTCTTCTCGTAAGTCCTCAGTTCTGCACACATTGCCTTGGGAAATTCCCCAAAATACATTACTTTTGACATTTAAACCACTTGAATAAAGGTAAACAAAGAAGATGGCATGTTGTTGTTCAAACTGGCATGTAAACATGTTCTCAGAAGCACTAGATTTACATAAGGATTTAAGAGTGCATTAATAAACACACGAAAAAGCAAAGGCTATATGAGACACCTGGTTTATTCTGCAACTTCTGCAATTGTTTACTACATGTTTTGTCGTCAAGGTAGAGTGAGATGTTGCTGCAAAGTGCTGTGCCGTTGCTATTTATATCATTTGAGCCCTTTGGCCTTTCACAGTCAGCCACTTTTTAGGTGACGTCGGTTGAGACCAGGAGAGTTCAGGGCTTAGGGGGGAGATCAGACCTGATGATTCTTTGCAATAGCAACACTACACAACAAAATAGCCGCAGCTCTGCCCATCCTGTTATGTTGATTTGAATGGGGACATTTATTCTACTCTATTCTATTTCTATGACTAAAAACCAACAAGAAACTGAACTGAAACAAGTCGGAAATGCTATCCTTTTTTGTTTAAATGCAGGCAACGGGACTACAGCTAGTGGCACAAGCCTCGCTTTAACTAGCTAGTGCACATTCCACTGAAGATAATAATGATAAAAAAAACTTCTGTTATGAACTACTACTTCTCCAGAATGCACATCAACTAAATCAACAGCATGTACACGCAGCGGCATGTGCGGATGAACAGGCAGCTGTTGGATCAGATGGCAAATTGTCCCTGAACATGCACTTACCAGACATGATGGCTAACCCAGGGGCTACTTTCTGTGTTTACCTTTTTGATTTCATTTATATAACATTAGCTTTATTTTGAAAGCAATTGAAAGTTTGCCTTGATATGCAATGGGCTAGGTTTTTTCTTTTAATGTGTTCAAGAGAAAAGTCTTAAGAACAGCTTTTATGAGATTCACAACTTAAACTTGAGAACTGTTCGTACCTGTGTATCTATGAGTATCCCATTGTACTCGTAGATCTAAAGCACGTGCCCCTTGATGCTGATAATTGAGTTTTAAGTAGACATTTCTTCTTAGGATTAGTTGGTGAATGAGGCTCATTGATTCACCACAGTCAAGTTGAAAGATGTACAACTCCAGAAGAAAATGTGCTCGGAGGCTGAGTGTCACAGTAAAAATATTGAGATTTTGTTCTCTTGTTGTTATAATGGTATTTTTTGCTTATACAGTAGGAGAAATACATAATAAAATATAATCAGCCTTATCTATTTTAAAAGTAAGAAAACCAAAATGTCTTCTGTGGAGTAAATGTGCTGAGTTAGACGCTCTCCACCCCCTTCTCTCTCCACTCTCTGAGGTTTTCCTGGGATACCACAGTCAGCTTTTCCCAGGGAGCCTGAAGAGAGGGAGTGGAAAGTAGAGAAGAGCAGTTAGGGAGAAGTGGAGATAGTGAGAGAGAAAAACAAACTGAGTGCAAGGATTTTGTTTACTTGTTCTGTGTTCCCACCACACCCAGATAACACGCAGTTTGATATAGGACATAAACACCAAAACCTCTTCTGCGTGACAACAACAAGGCTGTATATCACGCTGTGACGGTAAACTGTTGCTGTTCTCTTCGGCAGCGCACACATCCTGAATAAAGAGTTTAGACGGTGAAGCCCTGCTAAGATGCAAAGAGGCCATAAATGCTTAAACACATGCTGGGCACACACACACACACACACACACACACACACACACACACACACACACACACACACACACACACACACACACACACACACACACATGCACACACACACACACATGGTCCACTATATAAGATTTCAACCTGGAAGTCTCTGCTGCTGTACTTTATGAGTTAACATTGACAGTATGTAACTTAATCTACAAGTGTTTACAGAAAGGAAATACTTTTTTCAAGTGTCTCTGTTCCCTTTTTGCTGTTCCTCTTTTCAAGCAAGTGAGTGTTTGCTTATGTGCAAGATAGCCAAACATGTATATCACATGCAGGACTGCAACGATTATTTTCATTATCGATTAATTTGCAGATTATTTTCCAGACTTATTGATTAATCGTTGGTCTATAAACTGTTAGATATTGGCTGAAACAGTAGAAATATATGTGGTTTTGTACGTTTTGGATGAGATAATAACTTCAATATATTGGAAGGTTAGGACTTTTGGTTATACTTCTTCTTCTTCTTCTTCTTCTTTCGTGTAACGTCAGAGGTCCAACTCGGTGTCGTGTAGCCATGCCCGCATCTCTGGTCCTAAGTCAAAGAGGCTGGCTTCCGAGGGTGGTCTATATAAAGGGCAGGTGGTTATTATATGTTCGGCAGTCTGTTCAGGGCATCGCATGCAGCACTGTCTGCCAGGCCCCATTTCTTCATTGATGTTTTGAAGCGACCAACCTCAGTTCGTAGACGGTTTAGTGTGGTCCATTGCCGGCGTGGTAATACTGAAAATGGAATTCAAACGCAATTAATGTCATCTTTTATAACTTTTATACCTAATGTGCAGATTCATTGATGATAATAAAAACAATCATCAGTTACAGCCCAAGATGATAATTGTCTATACTTAGGCAGTAAATATATAATTGCGGTTTGTAGTGATAAGCTGAAGTAGTGAAACAAATGTGGCAACCCAGTCACATAGAAGTGGCAAACATATACCTGTGAACATACACACACACACACACACACACACACACACACACACACACACACACACACACACACACACACACACACACACACACACTGCAGAATGTGAGCTTATTCAGGTCTTTGCTGTAATAAAGCCCCTAATCTGCCCATACACGCCATGAATGGAGACATTCCTCTTGCCTTACTCAACCACACACACTCACACACAAATCTAGAAAAAAACACACACACACTAACACAGGGAGAGAGCTATATTTTAGTTTTACAAGTCGTAGATATGCATTACAAGGACCTAAAACTCATCTGTAGCCTCATAACATTTATTCATTTTGATACTTAGCTTTATTATTTAGATTTATTCATCAGGCTGTTTCATTTCTGCTGATGGCAAAGCATCTGTGGAAATGATCTGTGTTTGCGTGTGTGTGTGTGTGTGTGTGTGTGTGTGTGTGTGTGTGTGTGTTTGTGTGTCTGCTCACGTGTGATTCTCTGTCTCTCTCTCTCTGTTTGCGTATCCCTTCATCTCTGGGAATTCCCCTCTCCCTGCTTTTCCCAACATCAAGCCCCTCCTCCTGTTCATGTCCAGCTGAACCAATCAGAGCGGCCGGCTTTGTGTTTCTTATTGCTGTGACACTGTAGGTCAGCGGCGCGAGGTCAGGGGGTCACATCTCACTAGTACGGGGGTCACGTTTCCTGGTTGTTACGCGTCATGTCAGACCGACAGAGATTAATTTAACTGAGTTGGATCAGTGTGACGAAAATCTGCAAGGTTTGAGGTTCATAGAGGAATAATGCTGTATTGTAGTTTGGCCCAAGTATGTGTGTGTGTGTGTGTGTGTGACTTTGTAACTAGGTCCTGTCTGACTCGCTAATCCCTCCCTCCCCCATGTCTCTCTCCACTCTTTTCACACACACAGCTGTTTCCTGCTGAATGTGTCTAAATGCAAGAGAGAGAGAGAGAGGGAGATTCAGCTTTAAAGTGTTGTCAGAAATCACAAGTGTAAAGAACAATCACAAAACAAATGTTTCAGTTTCAGCCCATTTACAGCAAATTACTTAACTTCCCTGAAAACCATTTTATAATTATTGCGCTGTGCTTTAGACAAACCTCTGCTGCTGTTTCAGACGCCCACTGGTTACCATTGATTTCTGAACAGTGTGAAAATCAATTAGCAGCCTCTTAAAAATGTTCTCCAGTTGTGCAAACCATTACAGAAAAACTGCAGTTAAACCACACCATTGCTCAATCAAGGATCTTTTGTCAAATTTGTAGTCTTCTTTTACTTTTCACATCTGTCTTTAGGTGCCCAATGCTTCACTTTGTTCCCCAGCTAGGAGCTAACTCTGATTGCATGCTATTTAGTGCCGGATACGCAGGGCACAGCGGGTTAATCAGAGCTTTTTCAATAAAACTTTTAATGACACTATAAGAGCGCAGACCTCCGCCAAGGCCAATGCTCTTCAGACTCCAGTTAAATAACAGAAACATTTCTTGTTCTGACTTTAACGTGAATTATCCTTTTAGATTTCTTTTAGATTGTTCTGACACATAACAAAAGTGAAGCATGATTTGTATTCGCCCTGTGCTTGAAAATAATAATGAGTTCTTCAATAGTTCATGCTATTCCTCTTGTGTCAAATCTGATCAGTTTTTGAGCGTCCTTCTCAAAAGCAGAGATCAAAACATATCTTGTTGGAAGAGATAACACGCTTGATGAGAGGGGAGTTATTTGGCTAGAAAAACTAAATAAGGCATAAAAGACAGAAGGCTGTGTAGATCTGAGAGGAACTACAGAGTCCTGGCAGTTTCTGTGGGGAAATGCAACAAACACACTAAATGTGATTATGAGACAACGCACGGCTAGCATCAGGGGTCACATAAACACAAGGATCCAGTCACTGAGTCACTTTAGTTCACTGTGCTGTGGGGAAATCCTTCGCTTTAAGGCAGCTTAACAACACTGTTCATTTCGTCACATATGTTTTAAATTAAATCCTAGTCCTAGTCGAATTTCCTTGTTAAATCATATCATATTTAGTCAACCAAGTTGAGTTTTAGTTCACCTAAAGTCTGGACATTCAAGATTTATCTCAAAGAAGCCTACTTTTAGTCGTTTTAGTCCGATTCTTTTCAAGCTTGCCAGCGTTTCACCTGGTATCTTTCTCCAAAGCCCTGTTATTGTCATTTTGTATTTTAACTTCAGACTGTCCTGACTGTGCTCATTGTGTG